CTTTGAAGACCATAGCTTTCAGGAGATGTGGGAGCTCTACCAACAGCACTCAGTCCAGAAGGACAGGCCAGAGTGTTTCAGCAGTGACCGGAGGGAGCTCATCCGGAAGGCCTACGGTGGTTACATGCACCTGTTACTCATATAACAAGCGTGACAATGAAGAGATTCAGGAAAAACGACAGGAAGGACCAGGTAAGTTGCAGCACATGCGTAGTAAATGTAAATTGTTCAAATTTTTTACCCAGAAATTGAGCTCCACTAGCCAAGACCCCACATGGCTGGATGACACTGCTTTTTCGGCGGTGATGAATTTGGAAGGTAATTGTAGGCAGATATGTAATGATTGGTGAATATCTACCTCAGACATATTTTTCAAAATGTGAAAAATTGACTAGCTACACTGAATCTTTTTGATTTTTAAGAACTGGGCAGGTCCAAGAAGCCCAAGCCTGAGGCATCCTCCTGCCAGGCATCTTCCACTGTCCAGGCATCCTCCTCCACCAAGGTGCCCTTCTCCATCCAGGCCTCTTCCAGTGCCCAGTCCTCCTCCACCTCACAGCTGCCCGTCACCAAAGTGCTCTCTCACACCAAGGCGTCCTCCTCGAAAGCAACCTGCTCCACCCAATCACCGTCCTCCTCCACCACACAGCTCTTACTCGTCTCAGGTACCCACCTATAGATCTTCACCCAGCAAGGAACCTCTGCCCTGCACCTCAGTCATGCCAAAGAGGTCTTTGTCCACTGACAGCACCTCTTTTGTGGAGTCATCTCAAAGCAAATCCCCTGTAAGCGAAATTCATATATATGCAAACAGATGGTAAAGAGAAAGTGCATCACTCTGTGGTAATGTGCTGTGAGTACTTGTATAACTATAAATGCCTAACTCTTTGCATAAATATGTATTTAAGTATAATATTGTTTTGATATGTCCCAGGTTGGGCTGGAGGGTTGGTTGTGTCTTTTGGAAAATCTCAGTGGCAGAACGATGCAGAGAGAGGGCTGTTCACCTCAGTCCAAACATACAGGGACAGCAAGGGCACTTTCAGGAGGCGACGGGTCATGAAATCAGACAGGATGAGGCTTTACCCTCCAGCACCTCTAGGATATATTGCTGGGGCCGTGCACACGCCTGACCTCTTCTTCCGGAGCCGTGTCTTTGCGTGGCGGCCTGTGGAGTGTGGAGGTATTCTCTAAAGTGTCCCCGTGCAGAGGAATGTGTCGCAAAGGGAAGGATGTGTACCTGTACAAATCAGACTACCACACCAAGGTATTACATAATTCTAGTGAGTTGTTGTGCAGAACCTTGAAATATGTTTAAAAAAAAAAAAATACATTCGCAAACAAAAGACCATAAAAATGAGACACTGCTCTGTTGAACTTTATTGCAGGTAAGACACATCTGACATATCAAACTGGTACACGATGTTCACAGAGGTCTTGTGCTGTGGGCCGTGTACCAAATAAGCCAGGAATGGTGAAGGTGGCACGCTGGGTAGCTGGCATGGAATCCTGCGATCACGTGTCAGCTCACTGAGGCTCACCAAGCCGTGTTCCCTGCCATCCTTACCACCAAGTGAGTAAGGCTGGCATGCATTAAAGAGAAACTAATGGCAAATACACACTTTGTGACACTTCGCAGGCGTGGTGTGGACAAGTGTGCTGCGGCTTCTGCAGGACAGAGGGTAACACCACGGTGAAGGTGTGGTGCTAAATCCAGGAGAATCATGGAGAGGAGCATCTCCAGA